GTCATTTATGACATTTGTAGAGAGAGAGAGAGTTAAGGGAGGAGATAATAATGTCCATAAAATTATATCTCTTAATTTCATTTTTTTAATATACAGTACAGATATTATTTTTTATTATAATACTCATATTTGTCATTAGACAGTGCCATTTTCTCATATTAGGGTGAGAGTCAGTGTAGGGAAGAAGAGTGCAAGGCTCCAGAGGAACTTCAAAGAGAAAGAGAGATGTGATTTCTGTGTTTAGGTGATAGCAACACAGGTCTCTGATAACCCTGTTCTCATGTCTGCCTCTAGCTCTATGTTAGCAGCTGCAGCAGTTTGCTGTCCTTTTGTCTGCAGTTACAGTGTTTGCTTATGGTCTTCCAGCACCATCCTTGTGCCCATCACTCGCTCCTGCAGGTGCACCAGCACTTCTGTCTGGGGTCTTGCTCTGTGAACTGTACCAAGGAACCATTCAGCTTTACACACACACACACACACGAAACTTTTCTTTTGAGGTTGCTTTCTTTCAAGTTGGATCAGTTCCCTGATCTCATCTGTAGCGGTCACACAGACAGCTGGGCCACCTACCTCATGGGGACAGGACTGACTGGCAAAGGGGAAGAGTGCATTCAGTCGAAGATAACGTGTTTTCAAACAGTGAGCTAAAGCTACAAGGGGTTGGAGGATGTAGTTAAGCAAGTCTTCATTTTCCATGAATAGTATTTTTTACAGGATCCAAGTTATCTTAGATGCCAGTTATATGCATGAAAACATCATCGATTCTGAGTCCACATCTTTAATGTCATACAACTGTAGTATCTTCTGTTACTATTCATGTTGAGTGGTACCTCTTACTATACATAACTTCACGAAAGCAGAGTTTTAGGCTAGGCTGTCGATCTCCAGGAATGTGGTAGAATCCAGCCCAAAAGGATCCGTCCAGTCCTGAGGACCTTTCAGGATTTCAGGCTTTTCACAATACTGAGCTCTCCAACAAGGCTCTCAAAGTACACTGTCACAGGTTCATTTGGTGCACACGATGATACCTATGCTCATTCCTTTTCCAAGACACTTTACTGTGTTTTTAAAAAAAAAAAACATCCACTGCAAGCCTGAAAGGCTGGAAGATCCTTATTTCACTGATTTTGTATCAATGGTGTATTTGTTGTTCATTATCTTGGAAGAAAATATGCAGACTATTTAGTCAGCTTCCATGCATAAATATTTTGTAACTTAATGGCAAACTGTAGGATAAAGCAAATATTTTGACCCCTGTCCAGAGTGAAAGAGAATGTTTATTGTTGGTACTTGGGATTTGTAGCAGCGATATTAGCTGAAGTAAAGTTTAGCAGAACTCTTGATTTTTGTAGTTTCAAAATCATTAACTAGGAGATGTTGGAAAATGTTGACCTTCATGTTTTGGGGCTTATAAGAAGAATGTTTTGCAATATATTTTGGTACCTTATGACCTTTTGTAATAAATACTGTCGTGTTCCTGGTTCTGTGTCTTGCAAGAGCAGTCTTCCAGGGACAATACTTCTGTGTTTGTTTGGAGTTACGAATGGAACTGGTATGTGCAGAATTCTCTTGATCCTTTCCCATTTCCATACAAAATGATATTTTACATTTCTACATCTCACAGTTAAATCCAAGATGTATCAATTTTAAAACAGTAAGGATCCTTTGACTGAGTTGTCCACTGTTTAGGATACTAACCTGAACCTCAGAAGATCCAGATTTCATTCCTTATTCTGCCACAACATAAATGTTCATCATCTTTTAGCATTGTAATGTTCAGGATACCTAGATGTGCATATGTGAGTTGGGTACCTCCACGCCTTAAATTAAAGGATGAGGGGAGTCAGGCACTATGGGTTGAGTGTTATTGTAGGAGTATTCTTTCAGTGTTGGAAGAATTTCTGCTCAGTTTTGCACTTGTGGAAATTTATTTGATCTGCAGGACTTGTGTTCTCACATTGAAATAGGTTGGCTCATCGGAGAGTTTATTTTTACTGATACTTGTGGGTTGGTAACAGACCCATCAGCTGTCTGCAACTGTTCTTAAGTGCTGTACCTCTGGTAGGACGTGCGCTTGTCTTAATGAATAGTCCTGCTCTCTTCTCCCAGTGGCTTGAATTAGGCTGTTTGATTACAGGCATCAGCAGTTCCCATTGCAAAACCAGTACTGGCAGCCCCTGTCTCACAGCTGAGGACAGTGCCTGCAAACAGAGAGCTTAGCTTGGAGTTATTAAGCATTAATTGGCATTAAGGGGTATAAAAACTGTGATTCCACTGACACTCTCCTTAGTTGCAGACCAATCTCTGCTTTTTGCCTATCCACCTGTCGTAGCCACACATTCCCACCCCATGCTGCTCCCTCTGTTAATTGCATTGGATCAGTGAAAGGAAGTCAGTTTAAAAATGATCTTTTTTCAGGTTAATTTTTAACACAGATCAGTGTTTAGCACTGTATCCAGTTCATCACTTACTTAACCTTGTGCTGTTCTTGCACTATTACCACCAGGGCTGAGGGCAGCAAGTGGCAATAGGGGCAAGAGCAACAGCTCAGGTGGGCTTGTGGCTGAACACAACACTCATGGATCCAGCTCAGTTCCACACTGATCACGTCCCACCAGAAGGCTGCGTCGGCTCTACAGGCGCCCTCTTAGGTTTATTTGCAAGGAAACAGCAAGAGAAGATTCCTAGGCCCTAAATTTTGCCAGATGTTCAACTATGGGAGTTCATTAAAGTTCACATGGCAGCCTGAAATCCAGCGGCGTGTTTTGTGATCAGCCAAAGCAAGATGTCAGCTCCCTGTGCTGGCAGTAGAGGCAACCCAAAATATGTTGGAGTCCAACCAGAAAACTTGCCCATCCTAGCAGCTGGGAAGCAATAGCCCAGGGTCATGCACAGTTGTGATGACACCATAAATCATTCTACAACAGATTGTATCAAAGCTTCATGTGAGAATCCTGAGCAACACAGAATAAAAACACAAATGTTTGTAACTGCTATGGATGTTCTCAGTGCTTCCACACACAACCACATTTGTAGGTCTTGCATTGATCTGATCATCCATACACTGCCTGAGACTCCAACATCTGTTTCTGCTGTTTAGAAACTCTCTCTCCCTTTAGTTTTTATCCTTGGAGAAAGGCTCTGAGTGTCATCTGCTGGGCTGCTTGCCCACATGGAAGTAACTCGCCCTTAGCACCTAGCAGACATGTCCAGTGCTTCCCCTGACAAGTTCTGGATCCTTCTGCCTCATGCAGATTTTACTATGCCTGATTCTAGCAGACTTGGAAGTACACTTCTTTCCCCAAGCCAAACTGTATATTTTCCCCCTGTTGTTTCTTCCCTAGTTAGTACCCTGTCATACTGCAGTGAAAGCAAGGATTACATCTGTAACCTTATAAATCTTATAGCACAATGTGGTTTCAAACTACTTTGAGATTCTGGTTACTTGCTATGATACAAATAACCGATCCTAGAAATTAGAAAATACTATTAAATCCTTTCTGTTTATCAATTGTGTGTAAAATTTATCTTTCAATACCGTGTTTCTCTTTC